AAGAAGGAACCATCTTGGTTGACGTTTGTAGAACAATGCAAGATGTACTATTGCAACAAATCACTTCCAAACACCCCTTCTATGCTGTTTTCGCCTATGATGGCTGGGTAATGTTATCTCGAAAGCCCCCAAATTTGGAGTGCTTTTGCCTCAGTCGAGTTACCAAACGACCTCCGCTGGTCATCAGATATGAGTGATTTCACATGATAGAACCTCGATGGAGGGGCAATGCAACCTGGGCAAAGGTTAGACCTCTCAAGGGGTCTTGCAGACCGCATAACTAGACGTTCTCAATAAGTTACTAGCATCTAAATTAATTAAAGGCTCTTTTCAGGGAAAGTCCTTGGAACCTTGAGTGGTATTCAAGTCGCTAAGAACCGATCCCCAGGTTGGTGTTTGTATAGAGTCCCCTATTACCCCATTAATAGTATCCTAAAGTTCAAAGCTTGTTCCGCCTATAAGGGGGGTCCATATTTTGATAAATTAGATCTGATATCCTGCAAAAATTGGTCTTGGTCATATTTGCAGCACTGCGTTGTTGAGTTCACTAAGCAGTCTACATGAATTCTATTGGGAAAGCACAGTTAGAGGTGTTATATCATACAGCCATCCCCGAAGCCACAGCATGAAAATCATCCGTGCGTCTTCCCACGACTACTCAAAACACCATCATCAGCATCTGGCGCTTTGATGATTGTCTCCCTAACCACTCCCTTCCTATCATATTTCATATGTTAATTATTTCCCCTATTTTAATCTGCTAGGCAACCGCACCCACATTTGAATGATAAATCTAGTTATACGGATGATTCATAGCCCTAAACACCCCGCACAGGGATTGATCAATTTGTTAAACTCATCATTAGTCTCCTTAACCGGTGTAACAGCACCGCCCTCTAGGGGCAAATACTTGGGTATCTTTCTCCCCCCCCCGTTATGGCAGCGAGGTGATGATATCACACTCTAGTGCTGAAGGGGGGGGCTACCTTGCTGTGGAGGGCGAAGGAGATGCCTATTCCATAGTTTACCAGAGTTTGTGCATCAACTAGAGGTATGTGTGTGATCGGGGAATAGACATCCCAAAGCAGCTTGGTGATATACCCCCGCCATGGCGAGCGATTATAGGAGGCTAAATTTGAAATGGAATTTTGTTTGAAATCGATAAATTCAGGTTTACTTTGGCCCAAAAAAGAATTAGTTTATATCCTTCGAATCTTCTGGTCGGGAATAGGCAATATCCGCCTTAGATTTCCGAACCCCATTTTCCCC